CTGAGTACCTATAAAAGGTTTAAAATTAAAAAGACAAAGAGGAAAATTTCAGTCTATTTTAACTGAATCATTGACAGCCAGGCACATACTGCCAGCAGATTCTACTTGAAAGATCACTGCGAGCAATACATGATATTCAACTTTAAAACCTCCCTGCTATTTTCCCATGTGTACACAATCTTCTTGATAGAAATAATTTCATATCAATGAATACCAGGGAAAACATTTTCAGTTCCAGGCAATATCATCCAACTAGATTTTGAAAATACTGTAATAAAGGTATTACAACTTTACTGCTGAATAAAGCAAAATTTTAACCCAAGGCAAAAGAGCCTCATGTTATAGAGAGAATAGAGCCATTCCAGCACACAGTTCATTCAAGCAGACATCTAGGACTCTCTCATACAGGTTACTGGTTTGACAATAACAACACCATGCTTTCATTACCTGTAGAAAGTACATCAAGCTATTCTGTTCTCATGAACATCTAGTGAGAATCTAAGTTGCAATTCTGCATGACCCAACGATATAAACTGTTCTGTTACCTGCTGCAAATCAGCAACCCGCAGCCTTTTATGAAGTATACTAATCTTCTTAATCCTTGAGGTCCCCGTTCAATTTGTTTGTGTGTTGGCCCAGAGGAACTTGCCGTGATGACGTTTCAGAAGGGTACTTAAACAAGGAAACCCTTGCTAAAGGGTACTGGGAAAGAACAGGAAGCCTGAGCATACGCTCCTTGGTACCCCAACAGTGTTGTCATTGTCCCTTCTACTGGCGGCGGAACCAAATCTTACCTTGTCCCTCTCTACCCTCCTCCACCCTACATAGATGAGGGATTTACTCTGTAATGTCAGAAAACAGTTCTTTCACCTCTTAATAAGATCAATGGAAGGAATTGTGCATACCTTTGCTTTTATTAGTATTAAAATCTTTTCAACTTAGTATAACAAGACTGACAAAAATTATGTCTTTTCAGCTGCTTCTAATATTCAATTTAATGGAAAAAGTTTTCCAAAAGTTACTACAGAAACTTAGGATAGCTCTTAAAAGAGAATATCTGTGTATCTCCAGTTGCAGAATTCAGTCTCACAATCAATTGCAGAAGATTTTGTAACTGGAAAAAAGAGCGCTATAAATCAGAACCATTTAGGTTGGAAAAGACCTTTAAGATCAGAGTCCAACTGTAAACCTAACACTGCCAAATCAGTTCAGTCAGATATGTTAATTGTAATGAAATGCTTTTTAGATGCTCTAGCAAAATCTGTGAGTCACTATTTACCTTTATAACTGATATGCTTTAAAGCTAGGTCAGTCCACTTACAAAAACAGGCATACAACAGAACCGAAACATCATCCAAGCTTGTATATCAGGGATTATACTTCTGTTCCACCAAGGTAAATTGATGATTGCAGGGATAAGCCTTGAACTTCAGCTTAATGATGAACTTAAGGATGAACATAAAAAAACTCAAAATCAGTAACAACCTCTGTTTCATTTAGTTTCTCCAGACAGACATGCAGAATAATATATGCTCCATTATCTACTCATTTTTACAGTAGGTGATACTGGCAAAAATATCAACACCTGCATAAGATGTTAAATGCTCACAAAGACTTTCAATCTAAAACCTCATTATACATTCAAATAATATCTCAATCTAAGAGTTTGCAAAGAATTTTCATTCTAAAACAAAAATCTCATTAGATTAGAATCCCTTTACTCATCACCAGTTTCCTAAGAAATCTTTTAATTTACCATCAAAATGTTAGGTCAGTTTTATAGTGAGTTCTCTTTACAAAATATACTTTCCAAAATACACTTTACAGTTCTTGCTAGTATCTATGACACATTGAATAATTGAAACTAACTCTACCAGTTCATTTGCAACACATCACTCATATCATTTTAGTCATTCTTTTACTATTTTTTTTTCTTTCCCCAAAAAGGGCACTACAACTCCTCAGGAAGAACAAAGAAAATCGAGCAGTACCAACTCAATCCCTTTACACTTTTATCACTGATCAATATACCTACTGTAAAAATGGAACATCACTACGCTATCTTTAGGAACTATACTAGTGGATCAACAAAGGAAGTTTTTACAACTACAGCCCCCAAATATGGAATATAGTTACCTGATCTTCTTAAAACGAATCTGAAATAAGTTCTCCTTATACTACAGTACGCAGAAACACATGCAATTAAAAATGTGCATATAAATTAAAACACCTATACATTCATGCTTCTAATAAATTTAAGGGTCATAAGTGCACTGTTACTGCAATTATTTCAAAAGAAAGGAGGAAGACTATACAAAGCAAATAGTCCTCTAGTATCAATATTAGACTCAAGAAATACAAACAAATTCAAAAAAAGACAGCCCTGTAAAATACTAGTCAGAATCACTTAAAATCAGTTAACCATGAAGGAAACTAACATTTCTGGTTTTATATTCAAAACTTGGCAGTAGCTAAGCTCATAAAAATAAGCTGATCCTATTTAAATATTCTTGACTGTACAATTACATGGAAGGAGCAATCCTTAACCTAGATCTGATTTATAACTCATATGACTTGTTATAAAATGAGGGCATTGAACTAGTGCAAATAACCAAAAACCAGTTTTTGAAGACTACTTATATGCTGTTCATGTGAAAGAAATATCAAAGTAAAATTTAAGGGCTTTATCTAACATTCATACGAAAAAGCCCTGGTATAGTATAGCATTATTTTCAACCAATGAATTTGTTTATTAATCAGTAAATCATGCTGTACTTTGGTTAAAATCACCAAGTTTAAAACACATCTACTTTCTTCACCAATCAAGTCAAGGTATTATAAGTAGATCAAACCATATTTCTCAAAGTTCAGTTTATCGAGAAATAAAGAACGACAATTTTCCACCCATTAATTGTCCTGTAAAGTGGGTCATACAAAAAAGCAGCTAAGACCCATCAGTAATTAAAAAACAACCCTCCAAAGGCTAACCATAAGAGCAAGCTGGTGCACTCAAATCTCAAGCAGCTCCACTGAAGACTGACACCAACATAATGAACCTACTTGTAAGATGACCAGAACACATGATGTGGACATCTGTGGCACAGTGCATTAATGATTTTTTTTAAACCTATCTACTACTATGCATCCAGGTAACAGAAAAAGCTCTCGGGTCCCAATTACAATTGTGTAAAAACTATGTAATTTTAGAAAATAAACACAAATCCTCCATCAGAACAATTTACATATACCCCTGAATGTATATGCATACTTTTCAGATGAAAATTGATTGGCAGGTGTCTTACATAAGCTTATAGCAGACATTTCATTATGCCCTGCCTGATTTACAAGGAGATTTTGGTAACAATTTTGGGTTTGGGAGGAAGTTTTTATTTGTGCAATTTGGTTGTGAATTATAAACTTGAAAGACTGAAACCAAAGCTGTAAAAGGAGCAGCAGTATAATGAGATGACACATAATTGAATACGCTATGATTCAAGTGTTTGCTTTCAACAATTCAGCACTGAGTTTAATTTTCAGTGTTTGCTTTTGGGGTTTTCCACAGAAAACACAGAAGTCTATTAGCTGACCTCAGCTGTATGGCAGATCCCTGTTCTGAAATGCTAATTTGATAATGGAAATGTCAATGTGTTAAGATATTTGATTATCTGCTCTCTAAAATATCACTTTTACTAAAGTCTACAAAGGACATTTTGTTACTAACAGCATGTTGTAAAAATATCTGAACAGTTCATAACACTCAGCAAATAATCTTAAGTTATGGGCAGGAGTCTGGTGAAGAGCTCTTTTCCTCCACACATAAAATATAAAAAACTAATCTCATTCAGTGCTAATTATCAAGTTTATATTTATTAGCCAAAAACTTCTCAAAAATTGGATCTTAGCATGTTAAAGTTTTAAAATAGCATAAAGAAGAGAACTGACAGTGGGGTTAATCTAGGCAGACAATCTTTATTATGATTCCTGGTCTGTAGCTAGTAAAGTCTCTGCAGAGAACAGAATTACACCTATTTAAAATAATTTTTGTTCTAAATCTCACAATATTTCTAGATAATTTCTGTACCATGAAAACCTGTACTTAACTCATTGCAGCAGAGTCATTTCTAGCAATTTAAAAACTAGAGTAAGTACTAAAACAACCTGCTTTGAGTCACAGAACTTCTCTTCCAACTAGTCAGTAAGAGCCTATCCAGCTCAAAGACTTACTTTTGAGTATTTAAGAATGCAGAAATTCCCAATCCCCAAAATAGGAGATAATCCAAACAAAGTTTGAAAAAGGAAAAAAATAAAAAACAAACAAACCAACCCCCCCCCAAAAAAAAAAAAACAAAAAAAAACCCAAAACAAAACAAAAAACCCCACAAAAACCACACACCATGACATTCTCACACCAAGTTATGTACTAAAATTCAATTGTATAATACAGTTACCCATAGACGGTGTGTACTTCTGCATCAGTGACATGTTAAACAGCACACATATCTGTGTGAAATCTGTTTTCTTGATCAAGACAGAGGCTGAACAAGGAAAGCCACAACCCAACCAGTCTGCTGAAACATCTCTGAAAAGTCATGGTTTCAAAGCATGTCACAATAACACTCTCTGAAAACACCAGAATGTATTTTAAGGTACTAATAACTGAAAGGAAGTTAATTACTGGATATAGTTTTTAAAAAAATATTTCGGGGGAATCACCATTAGTAGCAGCAGTATCTGTTGGTAAATATCACAATGCCCTGCATTTACTGGCTTTTATACATTCAAAGCTTCATGTTCAATCCTGCACCATTTCACCTCCAAAGTTAACATTTACTAAGAATTCTTCATAGTACAGAGTCACTTCTTTAAATAAAACTGTTCAGACACAGGCTCAAGGTTTTTGTAGTTCCATTTCATAGGTTCCACTAACTACTTGCAGTTTCTAAGCTAATGAAAATTACACCTACCTCAAATTAAGATGCTCTATTTTATATTTAGGATACATTTCTTCAAAATAGTCAATGTGTGGAGGCTGGAGTATGTCGAGGGCAGAGAGTACCTAGGAAACACCACACAAGATCAAGACCTATCCCAGACAAACAAAAACAAATCCCTTTTGAAATGACAGTCAGATTGGAATACAATACCTTCAGATAAAAAAAAAAAGGTAAACCTTAAAACAGGAGGAAAAGTAATGAAATAAGGTTCTGAAACAGACACCCACTTCCTGATCCCATGCCACTAGAAGAAGATAGTACTCCCAAGACGCTCATTACTGCTCATCAATGGGAGAGGTTACTACATCCACAGTTGCACTTGTGGAACAGTCTCGGTAAGAACTTTTTGATTCACTTCAGACACAATCATACGGGTCAATTCAAATAACTTTTAAATGTTTTAACTTTACCTAGCTGATTTTACCTAAGGCAGATTTGGGAGTGCTTGTACAACCACTTTGCTAGAAGAACTGAGCAATAAACTCCAACAAAGGGGAGAGGAAGATGGAGTAAGAAACAGCTTGGAAGCGAAAGCATCTCCAGCTAGCATAGCTTTGTGCAGATTGACATTTATCTAAAGCCTAAAATAAGATTAGGTGGAAGCGCGTTGCCTGTCTATTTGCAAACATTTTGGAAGGGAAATTATTAATATCCGTAGATTATTGATAATTTCATTTTTTATAGTGTTTGCAACAGTAATATCTGAGCTTCCAGGAAATCTGATAACTGTAAAATTAGAGAGCTTTTAAAGCATTTTAGATATTCTACAACTCAAAGGAAAAAAAATACTTCTGTTATAGATAGCTCCGTTTTACAATTAGGCTTTATCAAAGACTTCAAAATTACTTTGAATTTACTTACATTGTCATGCTTAAAAAAACACAACATCTTCAACTCCCGGAAGACCCTTTTACAAGAGACCAAATTTTGGAAGACGTTGGGCATCTTTTTGAGTGCAACTCTCTTTCCATCTCGTGGGTCTGTTACTGACCTACAGAATAAAAGATTTAGAACATCACATACTACTGTTAGACAAATTTTCTAAATCAGAAAAGAATATTTTAGAGTTCTTATCATTCTCAACTTAGATGGTGAGTCAAAATAATGTGAAGACACTTCTAGGGAAAAAAGTATTAAGCAAAAGGCATTATGCACTGTACTATAGAGTCTGTTTTAAATGTAGTGCGATCATTCTTTGATTAGAGTACATATACACATACCCAGCCAAGCTTGATTGCTGTTAAGTGGCTGGACACATGTACATCAGTGCACATATTGCCTGCCACTGGCACACACTGCAGCTCAAAGTTAGATCAACATCTTGAGCCGAGGAGCGGATGCGATAAACATCTCCTTCACCTCCTAAAAAAGACCTTATTAAAACATTTTCTCAGTTACCCAGATGTGACTTTGTCGGGTCTACTGCCTTCTTCCTTCCTAAGAGGGCAAAAAAGGTAACAATCCCATTCTGACAGAACACTGGCAAGTGAAGACTATTACTTGATCTATCACCAAATCACTTTACATCTGGAGAAGCAACAGCACATGGTATCTAAGTTTCCATAAATGTAAAACAGGCATGATACCTGTCTTTCTCCCATAGAGCTTATGAGATGCAAGTATAGTAGTTCAGAAATTATAGTGCTTTGCACATGGCAAGTATTTTAATTTAAAGTAATTAGATTCTGAAAATAGACTTTTATAATGAGAGCCATAAAACTAGAGCAAGGAGATTATGGTGCCTCAATTCCCAATCACGGTTTTTAAGGTGAAGCTTCTCCAACCTCACCACAAAACAGGGTTTCTAGATCTTCAGTTGTTAGGAAACCTTCATTTTTTTCTGCGTATTTTTATTGGGATGACCAAAATAACTTTCTTCTCAGTGCAATGTCGTAACCACATATGAATCTACATCCAGCCATGTACCCTGATGACTACATTTGTCCTTAAAAAGTTACTGGCTTTTCCACCTATCATGTGACTCTCCAACAGATGACACTGAAGGCTGCTTCTTTTGTTTCAGGTCCATGGTGTTTTAAGTATCTAAATGAAAAATCAGAATAGGGTAACCAAATATTTGCCTTATCTCCAAGTACCACATCTGACTTCAAAATACAAAACAATTCAATCAATCCAAAAAGTCAGAAGTAGCCACTGATACTAGTGGTTCAGAGTCAAAGGAGAACTATCCCAACACACTCAGCTACAACACTCGTTAATAGTCACTGCATATTTATATCTTAAACAAGGGGCAGAGGGGGCACTCGGGAAAGTTGATACCAGACTATTTCTATGGTGGGAAACACAGAACTGAAAAGAATCTCCTAATTCACAATACATTTCCTATTTTCTCCAGGACCTTTGCCTCTTGCCTCCAGCCTAAATTGGAAAGAAAGGGAATGAAAACTGGAAGAGCTACAGAAAATCCACTGCCAGTGCAATGCAGCACTCACCATTGGCCAGACTGAAATACCTTCCCTCACACTGTATAGTAACTTCGTTCACAGATGATGGTTAACCTCAGTGAGTCTATTTGCAAAACAAGGTACTATTCATTATGAGTAGGCGACATTTGAGGCTGGCCCCTAGCTTTAGGATTATAGCAGAGGCAGATTCTGAATGACACACAGCAGGGCCAGTACCAGGCAGTGGCTCACAAATTCATATAAATTTGATCCCAGCATGAGCTGAGAGCTCCCATTGCTCACAAGGTCAAGCACCACTGATCAGCTAATTAGTGGCATTCTTCTCTCTTTATGAGACAGCATTTCTGGCCTTGCCAAGTTTTTACCAGCTTTAAGGAAAACGAAAAAAGAAAGAAAGAAGGAGAAAAAAAAAAAAAAAAAGGCAAGCCGCCAAACCTCTAAACTGTAAAATAAAACTTAAAAGCTGCTGATTCCTGGGAATTAAATACATATATCTTTGCTACAAAAACAAAGTTAAATTTTATTCATAAAAATCCTCACTGATTACACTGCAGATGCTAGTGAATAACTAATTTTATCCCTTTGGAGTTTTGATGCTATTGCTGACCACTGCACACACACGACTGCTACCAAGAGGATATTCACAGCTACAGCAGAAATTCCACTAGTGGATTGCAATGGTGATACACTAAACTATGATACAGATGCAAGACCCAAGACAACATGAAATTTCCTCACAAATGACTCTTAATACCTAGGCAGACCATAAGCACCTTCCTCAGCTATGTTATATTCAACAGTACATTAAAACAAGATTTAAATAGCTATCTTGGCTATGAAAAATATTTGATTTAAAACTTTCAAAATTTGTTTTATGCTATATTATAGCATATTTAGAGCACGCTCTACAATTCTTTTTGAATAAGGTGAAGAAAATCAATTATGTGGCTTTGTTTCATTATTTCTCCCTAGAAACATATCTAAAAAACATAACTACAACAAAAGTTTTATTTAGACACAATTGCTATTTTACACTGTAAACAAATTAATTCTCTAAAATTGTTTCAATTTGTTTGAAGACAGAATAAAAAAATGCTTAAGATGCAGATGGCTTGAGAGAGTTGACATCTACTTCTACCGTTTCTATTATCTGTAATAAATTAGTGCAGTACACATAGATAACTTTCCCTAAAGAAAGACTAAAAAGTCTCCATTGATCACATCCAGGGGTTGCACAACACAGAAAGAGCATAAAGTAAACACTGGCAATTCGTCTGCAGGTTTACTTCCTCGAAGAAGCTACCTGCAGCTTCACAGATTTAATAGGTTTTTCGTTTGCTTTTTACCTCAACTTACATCAGCTTAACAGAACCCGAAACGGACAGACCTACAGCAATCAGAAGTCACAAACGCCACCACTTTTGAGGACAGACGGGTAAACAAGTAATGCAGCCTTCCCCCATTGATAAAAATCTGTCACCCGAAACTGAGGCATCACCTGGAGGGTTTACAGCAAAGGCAGTCAATTTCCATAAAACTCCTTACGGAGAGCTTGTGCTGCTGTCAACCACTCTTCGCCAGTTCTGGAGACTGTAAGCTTTACAAGCTTGTTAAGCTCCTAGCTGTATATTTAGGCTGTATTGACAGCGATCAGCTTCTGAATTTGAGTACTATCACAACAGAAAGACACCATTGGGATTAGTCAGAGAAGAATAACCCATTTTGTAAATGTTAACAAGCAAATAACTCAGCATGTCAGAATCAGCTTTGAAATTTCAGGTATTTTGAAAATACTAAAATTTCATAAACAGGTCAGGTGTGCCATACAAGTCACACAGCTACGTGAAACGGATACAAGAAATTGAAAAAGTGCTTGAACAACAGGCAATTAATTAATCAATAAAAACATTATTAAAAAAAAAAGCAAGAATAGTTTGCCTTTGCTTTTGCGCTTAAGTACTAATAAGAACCAAAAGACCGTAGCAAAACCTGTTGCGGAAAATTCTACATTGTGGGACTGACAAAGCATGTATTGGAGTCCTCTCTGCTCTTCAGGTGTTTCCTTATTATTCATGTCCCGAAGGCTTTTTAGGCCAAACGCACCAGGGATCCGAGCGCCCAGAGACCACGGGGCACACAGCGGTTTTCAGCCGTGCCCAGGTCTCCCTGTTGCAGCAGCAGCAACAAGAAGATGCTGAATTTAAGGCAGGTGAGAAAGTTGTTTCTGAAATTCAACCTATCAGTACTCAGGATGAAACTGATCTGCTGGAAGAGGAACAAATACCCAAACACGTTTCCGCTTGCTTGCTGGTTCATTTCTAATTGAGCAGGGGGGAATCATCTGTTCGGCACCTGAGGATTTGGATACTGGTTCTCCTCCCTCATGACAAACACACCTCAGCGGTTGCGTGCTTTAGTCGCGGCAATACAGCTTTGGGAACCTACACTCAAGAGCTTTCGGAGATATTTTTAATAGCCACCTTTTAACCATATTTCCATTTAGAAACTTCCTACCTGCCTTTTTCCAAATTTAGAAGTATAAATATTATTCCAGCAACTGACAAGAAAAATGCTGTAATATATACCATTAGATGAACAAATAATACACATGGTTTCAAAGTTTGCATTGTGTCTTGTTAATGTTTTAAGGTAAAAACTCACAAAGTACCATTTCTTGTTATTATTCATGCAAAGACCAGTCATGCTTGTAGCTGGTAACAATATAACTCTAATGAATGTGAATGGAAGTGCAGTAATTTCACGCCATGTTGAGTTTGTTCTCTCTTAACTCAGGGTAGCAGCTGCTTTGGTTCAGCACAAAGAGTACCAGAGAACAGAGATAAGTGCTGAAGCCTGTTACAGAGGAATGCTTTTATTTCTTTGTTGCTGAAAGGCTTGCTGGGCTGAGCTCCTCTGGTCCTGCCACACAGGGGTTATCCCATCTGTATTAGCTAATGAACCTCAGGGTGCACAGATAACGGGGGGCTCTGAAGGCAGCTCCCCCACCTCCAGTGAGACCGACCCCCTTCAAAACGGCTGTCTTAATGACCATCAACTCGTCAAACTAAACTTCACATAAAGCATTTAAATATTCTGTACAGTGTGCTTTTAATGCACATACTAAACAAACATCTGATTCTTACAGTAACATATCTATTTACATAATCCTGTCTAATAAAATGAAATTTAAAGTAAAAATGGCTAACGTTTTCATTTTATTAGTCTAAAAATGAAACTATTAAAAACCCTAACCTACGCACATGTATACTCTTCAGAGTATGTGCCATACCTCCACAAAATTACCACAAGACCTCAAAAGGTGTCCTTTTAATTGAATTCTAGATTAAAGCAGTCACTCCCAGTTCTAATAAAATATTAAAACAGAGTAACAGAACTTAGTTTTAGAATAGTAACCGGAAACATTTTCAGGCAAAGTCTGAAATTCAATAAGTTCTTTTAAAAGAAGTACTCCTCCCATACTGTCCAAAATTATGGAAATGTTAAAATACAGAATAGCATTAAATATAGTTACTTGCATTCACTGATTTTCAATTACACTGCCTCT